GTTCCGAGAAATTTTCTTACATTTAAAGAAATAGACATTTCTTCTTTTGCAAGATGATTGGGATGTCCTGAAATTTGTGTTTGTTTGTTTGTTTGTTTTTGTTGTTTAACGTCGACTCTCTCTAGAATTTTTCACTCATATGGAGACGCCACCCTAGCCAGTGGAGAGCTGCAAATTTTGACCTATACTCGGCACTCAGCGCTATTGAGCAGTGAGGGATCTTTTTCGTGCCAGCAACTACTGCGACACAGGACCTTGGTTTATACTGTCTCATCCGAAGGACCGGTCTCCACGTCCTGCAGTGGACTCGAACCCGCGACGTAAGGATCATTTTCTTACGCCGCGACTCTAGAGCAAACCCTTTAACCACTGCGCCACGCGAGCGACCCTGCAAATGTGCAATTAGGTTTCAGAATTTTCAATTTAATCTTGGGGGTCAAATGGGGTGAAAAAATGACATTTTTAATTTTACAAAAACCTGGTTCCCAAAACTCCTCATACATTTTACTGGTAGCCATTCATCTTTTGCAAGAATTTTCATTTTTACCCTCGGGGCCAAATGGGGGTCGTTTTAATGACGTTTTCAAAATGCAAGTTGGGTCGATTTTCTACTTCTTTTTTTCCTTACAGAAAAATATTTTTCTGAAACTCCCTCTTTTAGAATCAGAATACTATTATACTCATCACAATCTTTGATTTCAGACATGTCATGAACTCTTTATTTGAAATACTAACATAAGAGGCACATGTTCATATGCTCACCTGCGCATTTTATGCTCAGTTTGATACATGTATACATATATATTTTATGTAAGTTATAAAATAACTTTCGTTGCTTCTTCGCTACCAAGAAACAAGGGAGATAGCATACATTTATAGGCACACACTTACATCCGGGTATTACTGTCCAATAACAGCATCTATTTACAAAAGTTAAAACTTCAGGCTCCGGGGCCATAAAACTTAGACGAGTTCACTTTTGATCTCAGTCTCACTTTTACCATAATTAAATTAAATACAGTTTGGCGACGTCACCAACGCAAGCTATCAAAACAAAACACGGACAACTGAAAACAACCTTAAAGTTTACAGAAATTAATTTCGGATTAAACAGAATTTAAAATAGATTTCATATGACATGACACAAAAGTGGGGTCGTTCAGAAAGTTTCGCCTACTTGCATGATTCGGGACTCACTTAGGTTAAAAAAAACATCGTGATAAAAATAATAGAACAAAAGACAAAATATTCATTAATTCTTTGTATACCAACATTCATTTTTTTTTTTGTATACCAATTTTACAAGCATCAAATATGAATAAATCTTAATATTAGATTGTCAAAAATACTGTGAAATCACTAATTTTCGTGGGGGTTTAATTTTCGTTGCTTTCGAGGTATAAAAAAGACCCACGAATTAAATTCCACCACAAAAGGTAAAACTTAATGTACATAACTACTCAGCACTCCCCCAACCACGAAATCAAATCCCCCCGAACCAATTTTTTCCTGAAATCTAGAAAATTTGACCCCATGAAAATATGTAATTTCACAGTGTGCTAAATTACAATCATATTACTTTAGAAGAACACGATCACTCGACCTGAAATTACAGTATACAAAATTGCTAAGGCACCATCATGAAATTTTTTTTTTACTTTTTCAAAAGTTGTTTAACGAGGTTGGATCCTGATATTTAAAGTCTTAAACTTTTTTTGTCAAGTATATTTTTAGTTTCTACACACATAGCTTAATTAAAAATCAAAACAAAAAATGGGGGTCAATATGCTTCTTTTGGTGCTACAGTTCATTTAATATGACCTTTTTGCACTGAAATTTGTGTCTTAATCAAAAATCACATCTTCGACGTTTTCCCTCCAATGTTTTTATCCAAATAAATCATGGGACAAATTAAACTATTAGTCTATTTAAAAAAAAGACACTTCAAAATTGTGACTAAGAAAAAGTTTCAAATTGCTTCGCATAATCAATTATTTGACCTTTCTGCACTCAAAATATGTGATTTTTCTGGCATTAAAAATATAACAAGCAAGAAAATTATTTTAAAGTCTTAAACTTTTTCTGAATTTAGGCAGATTGGTCAAAGTTATCTTATATATTCAGAAAATAAAAACGAAAGTGGGGGTCTATGATGTAAATTTTTAGATATTACTAAAAAAGTGTTAATTTTATGTTAAAATTGGCTAAATTTTTTTCCTGGAGTTTCAGAATATATTTACTATATTTGTCACAATATAATGAAAGAATTCATAAGAAATAATTTAATAGATATTTCAGAACCAGCATAAAACATTTCACTGCAAAAAACAGCTCTGTGAGCAACCAGCGTGGAAAAATCGGAATCTAAACTTCACAGTACTGTATATATTTCAAAAGGGGACAAAATGATCATTTTCTCCTAAAAAACCTTCCGCCACAAAATATAGTTCCTGGCTTATTCCTCTTTGAATGGAATTTAATCGTGTTTTTTTCATTGGATATAGTTTAATTTGCATTGTAGAATTAAGATTTAATGTTTGAACTTAAAAATGATGCAGAATTTTATAAATAAAGGTCCAGACCAAAATCTGCTCAAAAGCTCAGGATCGAACCTCCTTAACACGTATCTGAAATAAAAATATAATAATTAAAGAAAGATGTATAAATTTCCCAACTGGTAAATAAATAAATAAATGACCTAAGCGTAATTTCATAGAAATGCATAAAAATCGTGCTCATACGTTTTAGAGGAATAAATTTCCATTTTCTTCTATGACATTGTGTTCATGTATGTTTGCATTCATTAAAATCTCAGAAAAACATGACTGGTGTTAAGCGTTTGACCATAGAAGAGCGTGGTAGGGCAGTTGATATGGTGTCTGCAATGTGTTACTTTGGAATTGTTTGTTTAGAAATATGACAGAAATTGCTTTTTCTATATGTTGAAGAGTATAGTAAACTATGCATGGCGCTTAGTGCTGAAGCAATGAGGATTCTTTAAAGTGCCAACGTCTATTTCTTTTACAAAAAAATGATAGATTGTCTGCAACATTTGTTTATGACAATTACTAATAGTAATTTTCATATATCATTTACAAATTTTGCTTAATAAACTTTCAAAATTTTTGTAAACTTAAGGACACTTCTGTGAAACCGGACCAATTAAAGTTTTTATGTTTGTTTGTTTGTTTGTTGTTTAACGTCCCTCTCTAGAATTTTTCACTCATATGTGAGACGCCATCACTTGCCGGTGGAGAGCTGCAAATTTTGACCTATACTCGGCACTCAGGGCCATTGAGCAGTGAGGGATCTTTTTCGTGCCTACTGAACCTCGGTTTGTACGGTCTCATCCGAAGGACCGGTCTCCACGTCCCACAGTGGGATTCGAACCCGCGACGTAAGAATCAACTCCTTACTCTGCGACTCTAGAGCAAACGCTGTGCCAAGCGGCCGACCTTAAGTTTTTAAGATCTCATACAAATGACCCTTGTCTTTCAGTTCTAAAATCTAATAATTACCTATGGAAAATATTTAATGTCTGACATGGCCCCGGCAGCTAGCGTGGCATTGACTTCCCGATCACAAAGAAAGCATCCAACCACTATAGACTATATACTCTGAAACTCTTTCCCGTTCTTTTTTTTTTTTTTTTTTTTTGTTTGTTTGTTTGTTTTTTTTAACTTTGTGCAGAATCTGAAATCAATGAATAAATCACTCAAAATGCTCATGAAATTTCTCTGTTAATAATGTACCTATTAGTTTTATCATAGAATATCCCAGAATTTCATTTTTTGAATAACAATAATATCAGTGATGCTTTTGTAATAGTAGAACATTGAACAACGCATATTTCCGGATGTTGGTATATAAAGCGAGATTAAAAGAAATTTGATTTCTTCATTTTTAAAAAAAAGGCTCGAAATTATTCATTTCGATTTCAAGTTTCTTTTTATAAAATATAATATCAGTAGAAAAATGTACTGTTTCTCGCAGATGATGACTTACCTTTTCACTGGGATACAAACTTTTTGCTTTGTAAAATTTAAGTACGATTAATTGATACAGAAAAAAATACAATTATCGTGTGTAAACTGACAAAATCCTAGAGTCACAGTGCACGATACATGTATCTACTAGTTTTTTAATCGTGTACATCGGCTTCACGGTGTAAATGTGCGAAAGTGCGTACATAACGATTTTTTCTTGCTTTTTATAATTCTTGTTTTATTTTTCTACAAATATATTAGTCATATCACAAATAACAAATCATTGAAATATAATTTTTTTTATAATTTTATTCATTTATGTTTATCAAAACCAAAAAACAGAAACTCCAGAAAAGTATAAACAAGCGCTCAATGATTTTTAATTACATGTGAAACGTCTTTGTTTATATAGGAACTTATAGCGAGCGCAGCGAGCGGCGCGAAGCGCCGCTCGTCACTGCGAGCTCTAACGACAACGCCTGGGCGAAGAGAAAATTCGGACTACTGCACATTCATTCAATAGAATTTTTTTCCGCAGTAATTCTGACCCACAATGCATCGCTTCTTGTTCTCGCTGCTAACTTCGTTCACGCGGTGACAACAACTAAAATTTCACACAAAATTAACTCACCTTAATTTAATGGATATTGCATGCAGATAGTAGATTAAACGTTCTTTGTTAAAATATTTGCACTTTTTAAACTTTGTTTATGGAAATGCAGCTAACATACGACGTCATGTGACGTCACAGTCTGTCTCGTGCGGTTTGAAGAGGCGGATCATAATAATGAAGTGAACACTGCGCTCGCCCCAACGGTCGCACCGTCAACATATTATCTGAGAGAAAAATGAGAATATGCCAAACAAAGAGGTTTCATCGTGACACCTGGCACACAGTGCCTACAAAAACTGTCATAGACAATAGAAAGTCTTTAAAATAGAAAGTCTTTAAAAAACGAAAATTAAAAAAAGAAATAAATATACAAGATAAAAGTAATTATCATGAAAAATATAATCCAATACGTCATTATCACAGACAATGCAATGAAAGACACGGTAGTTAAAGTTTCTGAGAATGTCACAGATTATTCTCTCATCAAGGGATAGAACAGTTCCTCACTGAGTTATTATTACGTGAATGTCGTAACACAGCAGTAATGTATGCCATAAGTTAAGCAGCAGAAGCCGGAAGTTATGAAAACCTCGGGTCTTCCGGTGCAGACTGATTCCAGCAACTATAAGGTGACATGCCACCAAACAGGTCGTCCATGTTGACAATGGGCAGACTCGTCTTTGATATCTGGAAAACAGAAAAAATATAATTATATGCTTTTTTCAACAAGTAATATAAAAGTAAAAGCATGAACACTGGACTGGCCTCCCGAGGCTTCGTGTAAACCTTGAATGTTTATATTAAAAAAATATTTGTACATCTAATGAGGATATAATTCATTCCTTATAAATTACTAACAAGGTAATGTTAAGTAGACCTACACTTTGGCATTTGCTTCTTTTCTCGCTAACATTGGTGCAAGTCTGAAGAGCTAGGTTGTGATTATTGCTCTTGAGCTCAGCTTGTCTAGCTATCTGCTCAGCAAGAATCTTAAAAACAAAATTACAAGTACAGATTTTTTTCTCTCTCAATTGATAACAAATTCTTGAATGTGACAATGTATATTTTTTTAATACTAAAATCATACAATTTGTATGGCACGCCGATTGCGTCAAAATTATTTTCTGCACAACGATCATGATTTTATACACGAGCTTGATGAAAAATATACACGAGTAAAATAAAAATGCACGTATCGGTAAAAATTGCACATAGTTTGAAAGATTTTTACACAAACATAACGAAAAATACACGAATCCGAATTTTTTTACACAATTAAGGGGTATAAAATGCACAAACGTAAAATCAAAAACTGCACGAGCAGAGGAAACTAAAAATTACACAAACGATTTTACTGCGCATATCATTATTATGCACATAGAATATTCATCGTGTTCTTGGTTTTCTGTACTCTTTATCTCTTCACGAATGCTGGATGTAATCGAGAGAAAATGGCGTTGACGATAATATGCATGTTTGTTTGCTTCTTTATTTCTTTGCTAAAACTCGGTCTGATTTCTAGCTAATGCCAATCGAACGAATGAAGTGTTTTCTTGTGAACTGTGTGAGAAAAAAATTTAAAGTTGTTCGGAGATATCATATTTTTCTTATATTGACCGAGATCCTAGCCAAAATATGGAGGTATTATATAATGCCGGACATAAATTGTGGCAAGAAAGGAATCGCATGTTTGTGTTAATGCGGGGAAAAATGATGCACTCGACTCCGAACTAATAGTATTAAAGTAATACATGTAGCAAACTCTAAATTCCTAACGATAAACATATCTTGCTTTTAAAAAAAATGAAAGGTATTATTTAGTGTTTTTTTCAAATATACGCTCTATGGTCTTTTAAAAATCTCTAACTGATAGATACAACTTTAACGGAAAGTACTTGTATAAAATAAAATTAACACATGCATAATAAAACGATTAATAAAGTGGATTCTTCATGAAAATGATGGCAGAATTATTTCAGATTATAATTTATTTTAGTACTTCTCATTTGTACTAATTATGAATTCATTTGGGCAGATTTTTTTTTTATTTAGGAATAGGAAATTATTCAGTATTTTTTTTTTATTTTCAAAAAGATTAAAAAAGTGGGGATTACCTGAACATAAAAAAAATATTTTATTTCTAATTATACATGTATCTTTACTTATAAAATATGAGGATATCAGCCTACACTATTATGAATTCCTACTCAATAAAAAACAAGACATTCCTAAGGGTAAGCGTTACCCTCATTCGAAATGGCGATTACTTGATAAATGTTTTCACTTTTAATAAAAAGGACCAGATAATTCAAGGGAAAATATATATACTCTATGTGCTGTAATATATGCGGTTTTGTGTTTTGTTACTTAAAAATAACAAAACTCTACTCAAATGATCCTGGCACTGGTAATTAAAAACATATCATCAGTGGCGGATCTGGTTCGTGGATTGATTGGAGTCGCAACATCTGAATCTATGTATTTATTAAAGTTTCAAATCGTTGGACCATAATGACACATCAGAAATTTTAAAAACATAGTGAATTACTAAATACGTCTACGTACAGTGTTACAAATAAGAAAATGGGAAATGGATATTATAATAAATAGAAAGAACATAGAATGTGTTTTATCACTCTTGAATAATGCAAATAAATCATGTTCTTTATGTAGCTCGAGGTTTGACAAATATTTTCCAAGATAACAATTTCTCTTTACATTTCGAATTTGTATGCATAAAATTTTAATTATTTTCCGAACACTCAGTTTTTGTAATAACACTTTTTTACCCAAATCTATAGTCATTATAAAAAGAACATGACTGTATAATTATAAAATGAAAATAATCTTCAATAACATTCAAGGAACATATTTGACACAAGATCCTCTTTTTAAAAAATTATTCATGTGCATATCTAACGTTTTTGAAAATTCAGATTATGAGTTAAAAAGCCTAATCTATGCAATTTGTATTTTGTACGTATACATGTACAAGTATTTAAAAAGTTTGCTTTATAACAATATTGTACATGTGTATCAATGGCATTAACCAGGTCTTGTTTTACTTCGAGCATGACTACGAATAAATATAAGAAAACATGTGATGAATATAAACCTCAAGAAATCTTTGTTTTATTACCGTGTGCAAATTTATTATTGTCAAAATCTGCATTGAAAATAAATATGCATGTGTAGCAAAGTCCCAGCTAATTTAGTTCTTGAATTTGGTCTTACAATATCGTTACAGTTCAGTTGAATTTCAATCCTGATTTCCGTAGACTGTTATTATATGTACCCTTAAATTTTTAGAAAATATCTCAGGCACGTAGCATCAGTAGGGGCTTGCCCCCCCCCCTTTTTTTCCAAACAAAACCTACATCTTTTGTAAATGTCCACTGAAAAGCTGGCCCCCCCTTTGTTGTAAGATAGTTTAAATCAAAGTAATTTGGTATTATAATGTGTTTCGAAAAGAAAGTGGAAGCCCCCCCCCCCCCCCACACACACACAATAGGATTTTTGAGTTTGGCAGGTAGGTTGTCAAAAAGAAATTCTGGCTGCCCCCTCCCCCCACCACCACTTTCAAAAATGATACTACGAGCCTGTATTTTATATTTTTAAATTTTCTTAACTCCTTTATATGCATTTTAACTATTCAAAATAGACTACTGCTGTACATTAAAAACAACATAAATTAAGCTTTAATTCCAATAAGTACAACGACTGTATAATTTTTCTACATTTTCGTGGAGTTTTATGAAATCACCACATGTTGCTCAAAAGTTAAGACTACATGTATTACATGTACTTTATTACATACATATATCAAAAAGTGAGATATGCACTTCAATATTAAAATTTAAGTTGCACAATTATTTGCTCGATTTTCTTTACTGTTGACTCCCAAAGAGTTTTCGGTCAAATTCCACAACCCAGATGATCGCAGCATTGCTTCAAAATCTTTGTATGAATTGTTAGTAATATAATTTTTAATCAAAAGGTATTATTGGTGTGTCAAATATAGCTTTAAATCGATTAGCGTACAGGTGTCTTTCGTTCCAGAACCAGCAGGGAGGGATCTCTGTATGAAAAGGTCACGCATGTACATCCTTGATTATTACCAAAAATACACTCAGTGGGTGGTGGAGGAGAAGAGTTTGATTTGTTGTTAACTCTCCTGCATTATATCACATGTTGTTTTCATTTATTTTATTTAGGCCTATATGTCATTGTTTTAAACTTTCAAAAGAAATTGCTATACAGAGGAATGACATACTTTAAAAATCCAACAATTAAACACACAACTGGTAATATGCATTCCCCTTTATTACGTTATCTATAGCCTACATGTATTCTGTGTAGAATGTTTTTTATTCGGGGGTGTTCATATACTACAAGTTTAAGGTTGTGTGCCAGTCAATTTATCTACATAATATACGTTGTACATATTCTTGAGAGTCTAGTGGAATTTTAAAAGAATCTTTTTAAAAAAGATTATGAACACGTTACTCCTCCTTTTGTATTTATAATATGTTTCAAGCATCCAAGCCACATTGAGCTGTTCTCTAATGAATATTAATGATATGTGCGCAATGAGGATGCGTAGCATATTATATCGATGTTGTATTCTCACTCGTGCAGTTTTCGTTTTTACGTTTGTGTAATTTCCTCACTTTATCGTGTAAATATTTTGTTGATTGTGCAGTTTTTCTATAGTTTGTGTAAATTTCAATAACTTCGTGTATATTTTCCTCACTTTGTGTAAGTTTTTACTTACTCGTGAAATTTTTGTTTAAGGTCGTGCAGAAAATAATTTTGAAGCAATCGGCGTGCCATAAATTTGAGCTTTACAGTAATTACCTGGTCAAATGTCTGTTTGCTGTGTTGTACATTAGTATGCTCCTGATGCCATGCATCATGATTTTGATGATGCTTTGTGGTGTGTGTCTGTTGACGCTCGTCTGTGTTGTAGCGTCTGTACAATGCGTCACATCTTTGCTTTTCATTCACTGAATGACGACTTTCTGTCGAGTACTGTTCAGCAATCAGTGACTGTAAAGTTTTTAGATACACAATATACATGTATAGCACAAGCACCGTTTTATAATCTAAGAAATTATGTTAATTAACATAGTAATTCTTTCCCCTAGCTACACTGTATAGTCTAGGCGACAGAAAAAATTTCATTTATTACTTCATTTTTATGTCAGAAGGAAAACTGCTTAAATACTGTAGGTGTTCTTGCTGATGCTTCAAAATTATGACTAAAATCTCTCTTACCCAATTGCATGCCCATTTCTCTGGTTTCTCAGCCAATGTAGAGCCAGACCCCGGTCCTGTGCTATTTGTGGACTGTACATCAAGGCCATTGGCTGACTTTGATATAGGCACAGTGAATGTAGCAGGTCTAGATGTAGCATTAATTACAGACTCTGTTGATGCAGGTCCATGTATGGACTTTGATGATTTGGCATGTGGGTCCCAGCCTTTGGGGGCAAAGCTAGGGACATATCTTTGAGGTTCAACTTTTGTTGTCAAATGTTGACTCTAAAAAAGTAGAAATTTATTTGATTTATAAATTTTGATACTAATCATTTAAAAAATTTATGGATAACAGAACAAAATATCATAATAAACTTGAAGTTTTCATGCATTTACATAGTTATGATTTATATATCAAATTCAACTTTTATAACCACTCAACAAAATAACTTCCTTTTAAAAAAAAAACTCACGTACAAACTTCTTTATAAACATGTAAAATGTAAATTTTAATACTGATTTTTTTTTTAATTTTGAAATTTTTAATCGTGCATGTAATTTGTATACTACAACTTTAAGCAGTCAATTAAAGGTACTCACCATCTGAGTGTTTGAGATGGTCTGGTGGCTCTCACTCATCTGATTGGTCACATTCAGTGTGGACTTTTTAGCCTCTGAGACAGTCTCTGGTGACTGTTTGTCTGCTGATATAGCAGTCTCGATCTCTATAGCTTGTGAGATGGCCGTCTTGAACTCCCGCTCTGAGGAGTCACTCGATGACTCCTGCGCTGGTGAGACACTCCTTGGTGCATCCCAAGCTGGTAAGACCCTCCTTGGAGACTCCTGCGCTGGTGGAGAATCGGCCATTTCTGCCTCCCGAGCTGGTGACCTAGCTCTGGGTGATGAGGGAGGGCTGTCCAGATAACTGGTTAACCCTAGGTCCTCCAGTGTTGGAGTCGGGTGATACATTATTGTCATGTAATCAGGAGGGGCGTACCTGTTGATGGGTTTCACCTGAGGCTGAAATAAATTCAATTTACTGAATAGTCAAATCGTCAAATTCTTTAATAACAAAGAAGTAAATGTATTAATTCCATATGATTTAAAGATTTACATAAATTTAAAAATTCCCATTACCATGCATATTAATTTACCTCTTTACGCACAACTCTCTGCTGAGGTTGCTGTGCATGTTGAGGCTTGTGAGAAGCAACTGTGCTCATAGACTCAGTCCTGGTATGTGGATGAGTAGGATGTACCCTCTGTTGCTGGGGAAAGCTGTTCCCATTCATAAAGTTAGTCCTTGTCTGAGATTGGTACCCAATTGGGCGAGTAGGTTGCACATGTTGAGGCTGATATGTGTTGCCACTATTTACCACGCCTGTCCTATAATGAGTTTGTTGCTCATGAGGACGATGGACCGGAACATGTTGCGGTTGATAGGTAGCAGCAACATTTACAGATGCAGTTCTTCCATTGTATCTGTTTTCATGAGGATAATTTTGTTTGAAATGATGCGGTGCCTGCCTTTCTCTCTGCTGAGACTGATACTAAAATAAATACAACATTTTGTTAACAATGAAAAAAATAGTACAACTAATGTGCATTTATTTCAGATTTAAGAATGAAGAACTATCAAAAATAAACTTTTTACTGACCCACTGCTGTCCCACTTTGTCGGGTCTTTGAGTGGGCGTGGTCCATTGTTGTCCCACTTTGTCGGGTCTTTGAGTGGGCGTGGTCCACTGTTGTCCCACTTTGTCGGGTCTTTGAGTGGGCGTGGTGTTCAAGGGAGTTGTGTGGCTCGCCTGTTGAACAGTACGTTTCTTAGGCGGACCAGCCTGTAAAGAATGAAAATAAATGTCTTTAAATAATAATGTTTTAACAGCATACTTGTTGGAAAAATAAATAAGAATTCGGTGAAATGTCTCTGAATTTTAATTATTTAATCTATTATTGATAAGCAAAAGATTATAAGCTACTAAATTCATAATTTATATTAGTTTATGCAATCTATTAAATTAATATCTTCCCATTCATGAAATATGTAATCTGGTAAATTAAACTTACTTTTCAGATTTAAGATACATGTACATGTACATAATAAAACAATACTGAGACCTCCTCAGACTGCCCGGAAGTGGAGGACGGAGCCAAAATGTCCAGTCCCAGCCTCTTGTAAAAACTCGAGGCATCTTCCGGGGCAGGGCAGGGAACATCAACCCTTTTCTGAAATGCAGATTGAAAGAATATATATATATATATATATATATATATATATATATATATATATATATATATATATATATATATATATATATATATATATATACTTGCATATTTTTATTTTATGTAAGTACATGTATGTGCATATACTTAAGACAGTTGTGTATAAATGCGTATGCAGGCAAGTAGTATCAGGGGGAGCCAGTAAGTCTACCCCCCTCCCCTCACTTCACTCCAAGATTAGTCTTTTGTTGTTAATTCAATATGTTTGTTTGAAAGGCCAGTTGCCCCAGCTCTTTCCCCACCTTTTGGTACAGTATGTTGGAACTCTTCAACATAACGTATTGTATTAAAAAAAATAAAAGATGAGAACACCCCCCTTTTTTATGAAATAGGTTTTTTTTCGTAGGTTTGGGAAATTTTAAAGGTTTTTTTTACCATACTTTTTTTTATATTTCTTTACTTTGCTTGCCAATGGTCATTTATTTTAATTTTCTGCCCCCCCCCCCCCCTCTTTGAAAATTGATGCAACAAAACTTGTCTGTTTATCAAATATATTTATTTATTTATTTATCTAAGATTACACTTAAGTTAAACTTAGGCAGTTGAACTGATGGGTGGTAAAACATTTTATAAAAAATAATAAACCCTGAAAACTAGAAAAAATTATGCAACAACTTGCAATTCATAAAATTTTTCAGCATACAACTTAATTATTGAGATAAAAGTCAAATTTATCTAAACATATTCATAATTCTTAAGTAGAGATCTTATCCCCGAAATTCATAATTATATATTAAGTTTCTCTTTAAACTCGCAAAGACTTTGAAAATGTTTGAACACCCTAGTCTTTCTTTTTTCATTGTAATGAATAAACTAGATCATTTTATCAAGAGAAAATGGGGACTTATGCAAATGTCTAGGTTTTAAAGCAGAAGTTTCACGTTTATTCGCGAAATTTACGCGTTATAACGCGAAAAATATTTTATTAACCTACGAAAATGAGCTCGATGGGCTTTCTTACTTCAGAATGCAACACACAAAAGTTATCTTTTCTTTGTCCTCGTGCACATTTTGGTTCATTGTCGCATTTATCGAAACTTATAAGATTTTTTTTCTTTAGTTTGAAACACGTCTCGAAATCAGTCTCTACAACATAAAGTAGGCCTTTATTCTGTCTGGCAACGGTTACCATGACGTCTCTTATTGACAATAACCAAACATTGTAAATAGTGAATACAAAATAGATCTCTATGACACGGTGCAATTATTGAAGAAGAAGGCAATCGACGGATCAAACAATAAAAAAAAACTTCACATAAAGAATTATATTTTGAAACTGTCCAAACCCCTCCTTTCAAAATAGCCTAATGTACAAAATGCACTTCGAACACTAGAATATGAATATTAGCCTATTTCGCGGAATTTCTGGATGTATAAACATTACAATCGAGTAGTTAAAAAATAGAATGAACAAAAATTAGAATACATAATAAAATAATTTAAACTTGGGCTATTTTTCTTTATAAAATTGATTACGCCATTAAGGAGGCAAATGCGGGAGGGGAGAGCTCATATAATACATTGGATCTACAGTTTTTACAGCAAAACGCTAGTTCAGTTATTCCTACAGTGTAACTTATAAAAATAACATGACAAATCTTAGCATTACCCTCTTAATAGCGCTTTTATTCATTTCCAAGACTTGACTTGCTCTTTCGAATGTAGAAATTTCGTAAAATATTCGCTTGACTGAAAACACGTCTTGTCTCTTCGACTTGTGCTTCAGAAATGAGCAGTAACTAAAACAGACAACGTCAAGCCAAGCAACTGACACGTCATAAACATGACGAGCCAATGTATCTCAGGCGCGGATTCAGGCGGGAGCGTTCCTGAAGCCAACGGAGACTTTGCTCCCGGGCCCCTTATGGACTTTGTTCTTGACTTGCTTGGAACCCCAAATTTTCCCAGAGGCATTGCCATCTAATATAGCACCCCCTCTAACACACTGTCAAAGATCTCCTATTGTATCTCTTTGCCCCCCCCCCCCCTTTCTCCCCGAGAGCGTATCTCTTTGACCATTGGCCCATAGGATCCGCCCCCTGTTAATTTGGCAAGGATCTAATAAACTAGGGCAGTCTAGGCCTATACAATACATAAAAAATGAAGCTAACTTATGGTTGTGCAATTGTGTCCCTAAATAATAACGCCTGATGACCTGAGGAAATTTTTGCTTCACTTTGTAGCCTACCATCCTCCCCAACTGAATTTGTTAGGTGGTGTCCCCCTCCCAAACCAAGGGTTTTGATCGGTCTCATTCAGGTCAACACGATAATGTATAAATTCTTAGATTCAAATAAACTTTCACCACTCTTGAGCAACAATGTAGAATTTTATGCCTGTAAACTTATAGAAGATTGTTCCTTTATCCCGATTCTCTCATTAAATGATGATTATAAAATAATAATTTGCTTTCACTGGCTTACCTCGTCTAGGTCTACAGTTAAAATGGGCCAAAAAAAAATCCACATATCTACATTATACATAAATGTCCTTCTGTTCAATGAAAATTTTCATAAAACGTCCATTTTCACACAAAATTTTCTGGATAAGCATTGTTTACTTTGTCGACAAAATAATGTCGACTGCTTATTAAAAGGGAAGTTACTCTAAATAAAATAGTAAAAATACGTACGAGTTATCTTTCTTGCTACACTCCACAAACTTAAATAGTATATGTACAGTATGTATTTGGATTATTTATTTCTTTACCTGATTTTTGAATTGAATAGAATTGAATACCGGAAAGAACTTTACAAAAGATGATAATTTACATTCATGTATATGCATTGTATTTCTTGTGCCCCCCTTTCCCCCCAAAAGGAGAAGATATACACTGGTCAACGTATTATTTTGTACATTGCAATTTATGTAATCGTTTATTCTTTTAACTGCCCTTTTAAATAAAATCCAAGATAGCCAGAGTTATTTCTCTTCCAAATAATCGTACAACAATATGTTTTAATCATATTTGCATGTAAACGTAGCTTTACTTGAAATAAATGAATATTGATTTAATTTTTTAAAAACATTTTTCTCGATTTTTTTCTGAAAAGGTGTGTGATCGTACCAAGGGCCTTGTTCCAAGGGTCTTGGATCAAAAAACATAATGAGCTTTTGTGTGCACGTGAACAGGGCATAGAATTAAACTTTTCTTCATTTTTCTTGAGAAGACTATCAAACCGTTAAAGAATCAAAATATGAAAAAAAAGGGGGGGGGGAGTTAATGTCATTATGAGCGAAAAATATTATGCTTACTTTCATGACCTACAAAAGGAGAAGTTAATTGGTAAAAATTCCCGGCATCCACAGCAAAACAGTGGCGGATCCAGGAGTTCATGGGGTGAGACTCGAAGGGAGGCATGGGATGGGGTGTACTCCTCCCAAATGGTGCATTTTCCAGCATTTTTGAATGAATGGGTTAGTTTTTTCTCTTCTTTTTTGCTTTGACAGGGCCTCTACCTATCTACTGGACACACATATAAGTTTTACCACAATTCATTTCTAGTATACATAGTTGTAACCATTAATTGGGTTTTACTAAACCTATTCAATTGTAATTTTGTTTAATGTTTGCTAAACTTTTAAAAAGTTTATTACATTGTAGCCCCCATATACACATGAAACACTCAGGCTATTCAATGCATTTTTCTTTTTAGTTTAGACTTTACACTTCTGGTACAGGAGATAACGGTAAACCTGCACAACTGGAGGGGTTTAATTTCCCAGTAGAAATTATTGTATTAATTCAATTAAAAAAATATTCTATTCACGAAGTTTAATTTATTAAATATTTGGGAGAACAATACCAAAACAATATCGTAGCTATATGCAGTTTCGTTGTTACTTAAGGTCAAACGACACGTTCCTCAAAAATATATAACTTTCCCCCAGATTTCTTGATTGAAATACTGCTATACTTTAGGAAAGTTTCCTCACAAAAAATTGGTATATTATCAGGCATTTATGCAAGATTCTAGAGATGGCTTTTCCTATATAATCCTGTGTTAGAAATCACTTGAACTGCTGATATCACGATTTTTGGTTTAATTATTTTTCAGACATTTTGAAAATAGATAAGAAATCAAAACAGCTGATAACAGGTCCGTAGAACGCGGAGGGGGGGAGGGGGCAGAGGGCCCGGCTCCCCCATTTTTTCTGAGTATAGTATTTTGCTATAGTAATTTTTTCCTTAGATCCTGGTTGCTCCCCCCCCCACCATTTTTTGATATTGTAAGGTCGAGCACTGGCAAATTCCAGGATTTGGACAGTAAATGACCTTGTTAGATAATTTTGGGAAGTCCCCCCCCCACTTTTGGTCAGTTAATTTTTTTTCTCGTCAGATTTTTCTGGGAAGTTGCCCCCCCCCCCCCCCCCACTTTTGAATCTGCTGTTACGGGCCTGGATAATTATGAATGATATTGGTATGTTATAAATAAATGAACAAACAGATATTTGAGGAACATGTCGTCTGAGCTTAAATGTCCTAGTGTCATCACTAGCTTCACAGGCCCGTAGGAAGCAATTTCACTTTGAAGGGGCACAACCATACATTTTCAGTTGGGGGGGGGGGGAGGGGTTGTCTCGTGATACAGGATTTTTTTTTTCACTCTTGCTTCGCACTCTTGAAAATATCAAAAAATCTGTTTATTACATTTTCGTTGATTTTCCCTTTGCCTATGTCTTTTTTTTTTAACACATTGCCAAAGGCTGTAGCGTCATAGTTTGGCAGTTGAGACATCATAGCTTAGTAGTTGTGAGATTGAAAACATTGTAACATGGATTTTAGCAACTTGAACATATCTGGGAAGAAATTGGCAGTTTTAGTTTCTATGAAGATGGTTTTGTTACTGTCTCTATCTTATTACGGGCCAGAAATTATTTTTTACTTACTTTGATAGCATTTCACACTGTGAGAGAATATCACTTCAAATGGTATCCTTTCACACTGTGAGAAAATATCACTTTGATTAATTCAATAAATAAATCACAGTATTTCACTGTTGAAAATGCAATAATAACAATAAGAAAGAGAGAGAGAATAAATATAATAGACATAATATAGAATAACAACAAAAACCTTTTGATGATTTTTCATCAATTAATAAATTTCAAGAACAATTTTTAAGCTTATATATCATTCCGGATCTTTTCATGTCTTCTTTAGTGGTTTACATTTTATATTGTGCTGTTTCCGGTTCACTATGGATCTGCGCGGGCAGAATCCATACTTTTGCTTTCCAAATCAATATAATTCATGCTTTTATCAAAGAGATTGGTATGTTAAAAGTTAGCTAGAAATCATTTAAAACTATGAATTCGTTTTCTTTGAAAATATTTTCCACGGACAATGTACATTCACAAAGTTTATGTTTAGTCACGTGACTCCGAAGTAGATCTGGGCGATTACATTGAACTCTAGCAGAGTCTAGGAAGAGTGGCGGATCTCTGTGGTTATCGTATTTTAAATCTTTACCTAATTAATTAGAGATGAATTTACAAAGTGTTATTTTCTGTGATAAAAAAAGTTTTCGTTGATCTTGCCATTGGATTCAAGCACTAAAATAAACATTGCCTGATATGAATATAAACAGATAAAGTTTGAATGTTACTGGTGATGCTACAGCTACTCAGTTCTAAGCAGTGTTTATGGTTGATCTCTTTTTCTATTATGCTAAAGTGATAAAGAAGAGAAAAATAACTAATATATATTATGTATATGTATACAAATTATACATGCAAACAATGCACTATTTACATGTTATAATACAACATCTAACTATTTAAAATAATTTTTCAGTGAAACTGAGTCCGTTTAGTCGCCTTACAATCATGAGTGAAGGAAACAAGCTGAAAGAAATCCAAACTGTGCAGCAAGGATGGAAAAAACAAGCCGAAAAACTGGTTGGTGTATAAAATTTACCACTCTAACATTAACAATTACTCGTGTAGTAAATTGATCAAAATTTTGTTGTTTGTCCAAGGAAAATGTAATAGGAATAAGAATGGGGTATTTTTTTAGGAATGATGTTTAGCATCAATAACCATCTAAAAAATGGTTTGCATTTAAATTTAAGGTATTAAAGTACTTCAAAATATATGTACAATGGTTAGGAGGAGTGCTTATCTAGAGGAAATTGAACGCCTACCTGGTAAAAATGGTGATTGCATGATTGATTTTTAGTTGTCAATCAGTGCTCCATATAATGTTTCTCCGCTTGTCCAGTCTTATTGCATAGGTGCCCAGCAATAGTGTTGTCAACTTTTTATTAGGTCACCTGAGTCACTCAGGTGACCTATTGCTATCCGTTTTGGTCTGTCGTTGTGCGTTAACTTTTGAACATTTCTAACTTCTTCTCTAGAACCGCTCAACCAATTTCAACCAAATTTGGTATATATATATAGCATCTATGGGTGAAGGGGAACAAAAATTATGAATTTCATGGTCCCTGCCCCCCTGGGGCCTGAGGGGTGGGGCTAAAACCACCAAAATTAATGCAATTTTTAAAAATCTTCTTTACTCCTAGACATCAAGCAGTCAAACTGTTGGCGTGATTGTAATAAGCATTGAGCCCTCTACCAAAATTGTGAATTTCATGGCCCCAGGGTCAGGGGTTCTGGTGTTAGGGCGGGGCTCTATTGATTATATAGTGAAAATGCATTAATTAATTCTTTGAAAATCTTCTTCTCTGCTCCTGGGTATTAAATAAAGTAACTATTAGTAAGTACATAGTTATGATGAACAAAAGTGCCTCTTCCAAATTTGTGAATTTCATGGCCCCAGGGTCAGGGGTTCTGGTGTTAGGGTGGGGCTCTATTGATTATATTGTGAAAATGCATTAAATCTTTGAAAATCTTCTTCTTTGGTCCTGGGTATTAAATAAACTAACTTAGTGCATAGTTATGATGAGCATGATTGCCTCTTCCAAAATTGTGAATTTCATGGCCCCTGGGTCAGGGGTGTTGGTGTCAGGGTGGGGCTCAATTGATACATATAGTGAAAATGCATTATTTCTTTGAAAATCTTCTCTCTCCTGGATATTAAATAAACTAAGTACATAGTTATGATGAGCATGGCTGCCTCCTCAGAAATTGTGAATTTTGTGGCCCCTGGGTGAAGGCTTCTGGTGTTAAGATGGGGCTCTATTGATTATATAGGGAAAATACATAAATTCTTTCACAATCTTCTTCTCTGTTCCTGGGTATTATTCAAACAAAGAAAGTGCATGGTTATGATAAGGAAGAATGCCTCTTCCAAAATTGTGAAATTCATGGCCCCTGGGTCAGGGGTTCTGGTGGAAGGAGGGGGGGGGGCTCTATTGATTTTATAGTGAAAATGCATAATTTCTTTCAAAATGTTTTTTCTACTACTGGTAATAAAGCAAAGAAACAAGTGTATAGTTATGATGAGCAAAGTGCTTCTTCCAGAATTGTGAGTTCATGGCCCCTGGGTAAGATGTTCTGGTGTAAGGGGGTGGGGGGGGGGGGGGGGTGGGAGGGGGCTTTATTTAAATTATTTAATTATATAGTGAACATGCATTTCTTTGAAAATCTTCTATGCTTCTGGGCATATTCTAGGCAAACAGAGTAAAAGTTTTAATATGCAAGGGTATTTTTACCAGAATTTTGAACACCTGGATTATTTAGTCAAGTGTTCTGGTCCTGGCCAGGGCTCTATGAACTTGTATTCTGCTGAGCAAAGTTATTCCCCTTTGCCATTCACCTTTGATAATTAATCACTGTAAATAATGTATTTGAAAGGTTAATAGAATAAGAGAATTATGCAAGAATATTTATTGTATAATACAAAAAGTACTTTCATAGTTTTAATGATCAGGTAGACTTGGAAATAACAGTGATTGGGAAGGCCATAAAGGTCAATGGGAGACTATGGTGTAACTTTCAAAGTTTCTAATGGGCCATTTTGAAAATGAATGGGCCATCCATATATTCTGATGAGCCATCCGTATATTCTGATGGGCCATTTCAAGAAAAAAAACAAAATGACAAACAAAATGTGAAATAGGAAAGGAAACACGTTTCTTTATCAACCAAATCTTATATTTCACGTATGGAGTGTTGCACATTTAATGGAACCCACAAACAATATAATTTTCTCATATTTTGGATCAATAACATCAAAATCTCTATGAAACATGGGAAATGAGTGAGGTAATGTACCTTTCATGTCCTAAATAAACTTTATAAAGTGCTTCATGTAACAGGAAACAGTTTTTGCCGGGTTTTAACCAATGAGATTTGTTGTATTAAAATGACTGCATTTAAAACGAAAGTAAAACAAGCAAGGAAGTCGTACGCAATATATTTCCAACTAACATCACTAAAATTTGAATGCGCTAGCTACCAATGGTTGATTTAACACACCAATTTTCACTTCAATGCGACTATGGCGCATGGCACAAGCCCTTCCCAATCACTGAAATAATAGATGAATAAAAGTGAGGCAAAAATAACTTATCTTTTTTAATGTTCTTCAAAGGCCAAGAGAGACCAATGTGAGAAATAGTAATTTGGGATTAAAAATAGACATTTTGTTAATAGTCTGCATGGTAATAGTGATAAATGGGGGACAGATAGATTCTGTACCAATTATTTTGTTGATGCTTATCATACTATTTTTCTTGCTTTTGGGCCACATTTAAAGCTTCATTTATCAGTTTATGGATCCTCTAAATTGTTGTATTGTACTCAGGTGACCGTTAAGGCCCTTGGGCCTCTTGTTGAAGTTCAAATTCTTATCTTGGTTGTCAAATTCGATTGGGTTTGGGAAGATCCTTTTTTTTACTATTAATTCACATAACAGTATATTATAGTTATTTAAAAGTGTTGTGCTTTACATGTACTGGTACTATGCCTAAATAGTGCCAGGGCTTGACACATGGTGCACGAGCTGGAGGCGAGTGCACTTTGTGTCAAACCCTGACTACTATTTAGGCATAGTACATGCAAAGCACAACACTATTGTTATTATTATGTTGACTGTTGTATGAAAATGACAATTTAAATAAATCTCTGTGTGCATGTCAAATCTCATTGATGACTTTTTTGTACATTCCTTTATTAAGCATTATATATACTAACAAGCGTTTTCATTATTCCCTGGACTCAGTTTGTGTAATGATGTGTAAAGTGTAATAATAATAAGTACAAAATTTATTTGAATATTTTTTCCATTAGCATTGTTTCATAACCCCATACAGTGATTCTTTTTTTTGTTCTCAAACTTGTTAGTACACCCCTATGAGGACATCACATTGTGATCCGTCATTATTTGTGTTTCATGCAGTTTATGTATAATATATACAGATACAGTTGAACCTCATTATCTTAAACTCAATGGGACTGACAAAAAACTTTGAGATATCCGAAAGTTCAAGATATCGAGGGTAAAATACTTAAGAGTGCGCGGTAAGGACTTCCCAGTGAGTTCAACATATCCCTGGTATTTGAGATATCGTGTTCGAGATACCGAAGTTCAAATGCAGTTTCAAAGAATTTTGGTAAAGAGAAAAAAGTTTATGTGGCACTATTTTGGAAAAAAATTTTTTTGTTTATTTTTCCTTTAAGTGTCAAGTATATGAAACTACTTTTATATACATTAAAATACACTTTATGGAGTAACAGCTTCTGTGGCATAATCAGTAGCGCATCCGACTGATGATCTCGGGGTCCTGAGTTCGATCCCTGGTTTGGGTGCTGTTGGATTTTCTTCAGAAAAAGAAGCTCTATTTCTGCACAGAATACTTTGCTTTATAAATTATAATCCTTAGAACACTATGTTAAAATATTTGGGTATTGATTATATAGAGAGCAACTTACAGGAAGCATAATAATATATTATAGTCTGTCCCACAGAAGCACTTCCACCACATTTTAACCGAAATCAAAAAAGCATGGACTTATTTTCAAAGTAAATATCATTAACATTAGAATTTCGTCATTTCCAAACTAGTTTTAGCTATATTGGATACATAAAACTTGAAATAAACATGTATGAAATGATTTTTCAATGTCTATGGAAATTTACAATGTAAATTTCCACCATTACTGTTAAGCGCAAGAGGGAGTTGTTGTTACAGTATTTCCAAAGATAATCCAAGTATGACATATAATTTGATTCCATGTACAACATCATTATGTTAGTGATAGCAAGCAGCTGAAAACCACAAATAAGGATTGATCCTTTTCCAAAGTGGTGGTAATTTTCTTTCTGATAAATTCCTGTAGACTTTGAATTTGCTGCTGTGTCAATGTACAAGTTGAAGGTCTTATCAAAGCAGAAAGTTTGATAAAAATAATCTATTTACTGAACCTAGTTTGAAAACCCAGATATTCATAGATGTATTTTGAGATTTAATGCAAAACAAGAGGCCCATGGGCCACAACACTCACCTGAGTAACTTTGGCCTCGCTGTTTTTCACTTGATCCCCCCCCCCCCTTTGTAGTACTTATTGTGGCCCCCACCCTACCCCCAGGGGTCATGATTTGAACAATTTAGAAACTACACTACCCCAGAATGCTTCCAAATAAGTTTCAGTTTTTCTGGCCCAGTGGTTCTTGAGAAGAAGATTTTTTAATGACCCCATCAAATTTTTGTATTTTCTTGATTATCTCCCTTTTGAATAAAACTTGGCCCTTCATTTTAACAATTTAAACTCCCCTTCACCCAAGGATGCTTTGTACCAAGTTTGGTTAAAATTGGCCCAGTGGTTCTTGACAAGAATTTGAAAACGTGAAAAGTTTACAGACGGATGGACAGACGGACGGACAACGGGTGATTAGAAAAGCTCACTTGAGCTTTCAGCTCAGGTGAGCTAAAAATGTCCTTGATGCAGACCGACAATACAGTTTTTATTTTAGTTACATGTAACACAATATTTATCAATTTGACAATGATTTCATTTACACATGCATTGAAAAATTGTTGTACAAGTAAAAATTATGTTCGGACAAGTGAATTTCATGGTGACTTGTCTGAAAAGACAAGTAGGGAAAAAAGTTAATGTAGATCTAGAGCCCTGTCAATGTCTGATTAACCTTTTTTATTCTTTAGAAATAAGGTAACATTCCTTAAATCTAATTTAACAAATATTTCACACCAAATGGGCAACTGGTCTTCTAAATTTTACTCTCTTAATCTAAAATTTTACATGCATCAAGTACCAGTGGGAGAATGCACATGTATACCTCCAGTCTTGTACATACTTTACAAGAGAAAGAAGCCTGCCATCTACATTGATTATTGCTATAGAAACATGAGAAAAGGATAGCTGCTATAAATGGCTCATCTTTTTCTATCATACTGTAAACCTCTCTTAGGTTGCATTGTTTTCATAACACCTTTTAATTTACAGTGTAGAGAATTCCAGTTGATGGGTGGAGAAATGATCATTGTAGCCAGACAACCAAACAAACAGCTGTTTGCTTGCTGTACCTCCAATGCAGAAGAAGGCATGGTGAAAAATTTCAACACCTTCAAGGAATGCTTGCCAGTTTCACAAAGTACGTCTCTAAAAGAGTGTCATATGAGATATTCATTAACATGATGAAGGGAAGTAATTCATGCAGCATTGTGACAGTAATGCAATAATTTTTATGATAGTTTTTTTGCAAATTAGCCATAGTTGGGATATATATGTACAGGGAAAATCCCAAATAAAATTTTTCAAGAAAGAAAGTTGTAAAACACAAAAAATTACCATTCTGGGAGGGAGGGGTGCCTTTAGTCTGCAGAACTTATGTATCCAGTAAAAAGAAATGAGAATATGAAGAGTGGGAGAAATTAGTACCTTGGATTAAGAATTTCAAGTTTTATATACTGAAACACAAAAGAAACACAACAAGCAGTAATCTACAAATATTTGAGTTTTTTTTCTATTGATTTTCAAAAATGAATACACGAAGGTAAAACTTGATTTGAAAACATCAGAGATTTGATAAAAATGTTAAATGATTATCTTTTAACTTTAGAAAGTAACACATGACTGTTAAAACACCCCCACCCCGGCCATTCAATTACAGCGTGCAAGTCTGCCATGCACAACAGTTGCAGCTTGATTTATATGATGCAATAGGTTCATCAATCTCGAGATCTGAGTGAAAGAAATATTCTTTGCCACTTTTAAATGCCTGTTTTTCAGATGATGAGGTCAAATTTTCTCTAGCCAAGCGCAGTGTAGGAACCCTTGGACTTCCGGTCCAAGGAATGTCATTCATACTAATGATACGTAAAGACTGTTGAGGCGTGATGTGGGTCATATTTGCATCTGTAACTCTCCATCACCTTTATTTTGAGATTTTCCAGCTAGAGCAATGGAAATGCGCACTTCAGTCATTTTCAGAAAGCCTTGGCATCGCTTACGGAAAAGAAAGGGGAATTTATTTTTCGGGACATTGCTGCATTACTTATGATGAACAGATACAAATCCTTAAAACCCCATATTATTGCCAAATGTTTTGTTAAACATGCAATTTTTGATTCTGTTGAGCAGACTCAAACTTAACTTCCGGTAATGGTATGAAAATCATTCAACCGTTAAATTACCGATATTTACAAAGTTAAAGATGTCCTTACTTTTAAGATACACAATTATGTCCTATATGTAATATTTCCCCCTAAAATATGATGTTGCGTTTCTTTTGCGTTTCAGTATATATTTAGGGAAGAAACACTAATGGTAAAACAAATTCCCCTAAATGTTGCTTTGAAAAATAAGACTGATTGAGACTTGGATGGTTCATTTTCCAAGAAAAATACAGAGGATCGCCTATTAAAATTAAGTTTGAAATACTAACAAATTATATTTGTCAGGCTAGAATATTTTGAACTTATTAAAATTTAAAAAAAAAAAAGAAGAAACATGATGTATAGATTGTATGTGTAAAGTTTACATAAAATTTTAATGTAGTTCTAGACTAGTGTTCTTTTAACTGATAGTTGAAATAGGAATGATTATGTATATCTGCTGATGCCTTTGTTGTTCAGAGGAAGTGAACTTGTACCTAAACAACTATTCTGAGTGAAAATGTTTTCTGTTTTAGTTAAGATAAAATTTGAAATAATTGTATGATATGTGAGAAATCATCCCCCCCCCCCCCCCCCCAAATAAATAACACATATATTTATCCTACTTGTTAAATGAATATAAAGTATATTTTAAAAATTCTTAAATTAAAAACAAAATCTTTGTCCTAGGATCAGTGAAGATACCTTCTGGGATGATTCAGAGTAAACCAAATAATGACAAAGCAAAAACAACAAATGAAACTCAAATTGAGAAAGGAAAGAAATTCATTGCTACAACATCCAACAAACAGGAAAATGTAATCCAAGAAACTTCCATAAGTAAGACAACTAAAGAATCACTGAAAAGGAAAATTCTAACAGGTGAAAAAATTGGTGGGAAAAGTCAGCAAGAAAATGAAAAATACCATGATGTTGATTTAGAAGACACGGAGGAGCCAGGACAAAAGAAAGTGTCAGAGAAACAGGACAAAACAAACACCAGTAAGAAATCCAAGACTAAAACCTCAAATACAGCAGAAAAAGATAAGAAATCTGATGCTAAAAACAAGCCCGTTTTACATGGAATTCTAGCACAATCTGCATCTGAGAAAACTACTGATGAGGGCAATGAAAAAAATTCTCAAAATGGGACAGTCTTCAAAAGAATTCAAACAAAAAAGCCCTCAATTTTATCAAGACAACCCATAACCAAAACACCTAAATCAGAGGCTGCTTCTGTGTGCAAAGCATCTGATATTGTCATTCAGATTTCTGTAACGGCTTCAAAAAGTCCATGCACCAATACAGATACAGTGTCTGTGAGCAGTAAACCTGTGTCCCAAACAAGCACAGTTACTTCTAAGATTGTCTTGCCTATCTTTCTGTCTAGCAAAGAGGCAATAATTACACCTCAAGTGGCTGGTAAAGACAGTGGTAACAGTACTGCCCACACACTGACAACATCCAGTTTTGCGAGCCCAGTGGTAAGTACCCCTGCTTCTCATGCTCAAAAGGAGAACTCTTCAGCAGTGGAGAGTAAAGAAGCCCAAGCCAAAGTAGTTTCTCAGAAAGGAACCTCTCCAAATATGAATATGGTTTTGCTTGGGACTTCGAATCAATTGTGTCTTGTCCAACAACCATCTAAAGAAGGAACAGTTCAGCTAGCAGCAAATCAGGTGCCCATCCCACAGACGAAGTTGCTACTTCCATCAAGTCAACCACAGTCAGCACAGACCACAAATTCTGCTCCATTACAGTCAGGATTAATTTTGGTACCATCAAGTCAGACAAGCATAGGTACCACTTATGTGGCACCAATGAAGGCTACCACAACAACACCACTAAAGATTCTACCAAAGGGTGATCAATTTGCTGCACAGGTTAAGCAAACTCCCAAAGTGCTGAATGATACAACAACCCCTACGTCTTTGCCAAAGGTATTTATTTTAGCAGCACCCAACTCCATGTCATCTGCATTAAAAAGTAACAGGACAGGCTATATTGTACCAATGTCAGCCACACCAAACTCCATGGTGTCCCAGGCAAGTGCTGCCTCAGCATCCCTCTCTAACAGCACAGAGACCTCCACTGCCACTCCAAAAGACAAGACAAGTCCAGCATCTCAAATTTTGCTTTCATTTATCAAAAAAGAACTGAAAGAACCAGAGACAGGGGTTGAAAAGACTGTCAACAAGGAAGAATCCTCAGCAAAGTCACAAAAAAAGGAAAAGGTTTCAGTTCCACCACTAAAAGAGAACAGATTACCTGTTACAATGGGTTCTTTTGTGAAGATTGGCAATGCTTTGTACCAACTGGTAGTAAAGGATGGGCAGCAACTTCTTATACCAACTCGACAACTCCTGCCGAATGGACAGCCAGTGACGACGACCTCAACTGATCCTAGGAGAACACTTACATTACCTAGGCCTAAAAAAAGAAAATTTGAAGAAGGAAAGGTAAAACCTCACTTGTACTTATACTGTAAACCAAATTTTATTCGCGTGCAAGAAATGTCCCAAGTTTTGCGACCTACGTAAACTCACGAATAATAATCGCTGTGAACCATGTTTTTCATTGTATTTGTAGAGAATGTTTCCTTAGTCCCAAAAATTAATCGTTGCGGATTGATTTCAAACTGAGGAATCGCGAATAGAAGATGACACGATTAATAGTTGGTTTACAGCATGTATTTTAGTACATGAACACTGCATGCTTTGAATTGTACCTCTTTAAGAAATGCAGGAAAGTCAAGTTTATTCCATTGTCATACAGTTTTGATGGCATAATTTATGTCATAATATGTTTCAAACCTTTACTCTCTGAAGTCTGATAATAAAATGCAAGAGATTTTTAGAGATGGTTATTTTTACAAGGTTAAACAATTATATTTTTTAAGTATTTCCCATTATACTGTAATTGTATGATATTTAGTTTGTTCAGTACTTGACAGAAATAGCATTAAAAAGAATACACTCCCAAATGTAACACATTTACATTATTACTTCAATTCTTATGAATCCAACTGCAAAGTCAAATTTTACATAATACTGTACATCAGTTGGATACTGAGTAACTTTAAAAACTCCACAAAGTACAAAAATATTTCATTTATTAATAGAGAGTGAGTGCATCTTGTAGCCCTTTTGTATCAATGTTTTATTTAGTTTTACAATTAAGCTTATTGCTATTTACCATTATTAATGTGATAATGATGGGATGTTCTCTTTTTCATGAAATGCCTCAAAAGTTGGTAAACATTTTCTTCATATTATAGGACTTGGACTCTGGAAAAAGGCAGAAAACATCCAATGCGCTATCTTTGAAGACTCCAACCAATGGTAAATAAACTACAAGTAACTTCTTTTTTATCCGCATGTATTTTCATTCAACTTGAAATCTCATGCTCTTTTTGGGGGGTCAAATTGCAAGAAATTTCATACTGTGGAAGTCAGAACATATCTTTCAAACAGTAAATGAGACATAGACTATGAATGTGCATATATACAATATGAATAATTTTGACATATAAAGTGACATGAAGATCAGTATGCAATTAAGAGCCATTCTCTGTAATTACTTGAACTTTTATATAGTAGCTGTGGCACGCATAGTCTCAGAATTTCTCCAAACTCTCTATGATAAAGTCCTTGATACCTTAAACTCAAATCAGGCAAAAAATGGTTGCTATGTGTCATGGTTTCCATAGCAACACGTCCTAAAGTTTGAAAAATGGCATTTTTCAACATGTTCAGTGTCCCACAATTAACGTTTGCGGCAAAGCAAACAAGTGGTAATGACTGTTTCTGAAAGTTGAAGGTCTGGTGTCTTAAATATTGGATAAACATGTTTGGTAAACCAACTATTATATACGTTACTATGGAAACAGAGTATTCAAAAGTAATAATTTTGTTCATTTAATTTTAATAATTCATACACCTAAGAATAAAATCAATTATAGGTTGAAAAGCAAGCAAATAATACACAAAAGATCCTTGAAACATATGCCAAGGACGAAATATGAGATTTCTTATGGGTTGGCAATGGTTGCCATGGTTTTAATACCACGAAGTGATTTTGAATTTGTTCTCTTGGTGTTTCAATCTTATCCTATCTTTTTAAAAAACATATTTCTATATAACTGATGATCAATTTTTAAAGGCGTTGGTGTGACCCTAATTTTCACATTTCAAAAATGTCAAATTTAATTCTTTAAATAGAGCGTTCCTATGGAAAATAGCTGAAAAAATATGCTTAAAAATGTGAAAAATATGATGTTTCCTTGGATACGTACCCTTGTATGTAGATTACCAAAACTTTTATGATTGATATTTATGAATAACTAACCTGACTTTCAATTTTGACTACCACCCAATCTCTAACTGGATGCAAAAAGCTGGCAAATAGGGTTTAATATTGATATAAAATTAACTAAATCGAACATTTTCACTTCTTGGTAACCATAGCAACAGTGTTGTATTTTTCAACAAACTTTATCAATATATGATATTCAACTTTAGTTCTACCAGATAAGTACTATTCAAGGTTAGTCAAATAATATGTTTCTTGATTAAAAGGTAAGTAAATTCCTAAAGCAGCAAAAAATATATCACTTTAAACAACTAGTACGTTGTTTCCATGGTTACACTGCAGAAAAACAATTAATCCCAATTTTTCTTATGTTGTTGGTGTTGCAAGGTCCTTAGGATGTATATGTGCCAGTCATGAATTTCATTGTTTTTCCTCAAGATAGTAGCATTAACCCAATCATAGCAACAGATTTTGCATGGTAACACTGTGTTACCATGGCAACCATGAAAGTTATTTTTAGAATAATATTGCCAATACCTGATTACTTAAGGTCAAATATTTTTTATTGTTTTTCTTAAGTTGTTGATCGAGTTTGATCATGTAACATCTATCATTTGTGAATACTGAGCGTTTTTCAGCATTTTTCAGCATCTAAAATGTATTCCAAATGTACCCATGGTTACCACTTACTTAGAGATAAATTCTAAATAGTTTCTTTATAGCGTAGGTGGCAACAAGGTGTCATGTTTTTGTGAGAATGGTTTGTTTGTTTTTCTTAGTCTTTATTAAGGCTTCATAAAGATTCAAAGTAGCTGAAAATCTCAATTTTTTCAACTTTTCTGGCTGTTACCATGGCAACCAAGACACATAGCAACGAAATGTTGTTTGATATATGTTTCTGGTGTCAAGTTGTAATAATGGGCAAAGTTTCATCAAAATCGGTGACCATGCGTGGCAAAGAAGTTTAAGTGGTTACAGAGAATCGCTATTAATCACAGAATATGATCATTCAATGCTAACCTTATGTTTATATTCTTCCTGCATATATATGTACATTTTTTTTACCACTGATATTTTAAAGTTATTATATCAAGTCTATTTTTAATTTATTTTATTAATTTTTTTTCACTGCATAGCTGACAATTCAGTCACTTTTGGGAGTGACACCCAAACCAAAAGTAGTGAAACCTGCCATCAAATTACAGTTGAACTTCGGTATCTCGAACACTGATATCTCGAATACCATGGATATCTCGAATTCATTTGGAAGTCCCAACCGCTTATTCCTTAAGTAATTTACCCTGGATATCTTGAAGCCTCAGAAATCTTGAGGTTTTTTCTCGGTCCCATCGAGTTCGAGATAACTAGGTTTGACTGTATGTAATTTTTTTTTCTGTATTCATTACCTTTACATAATCTCCTATATTTTTCTGTATATTTACCTTTACAAATTTGACCTACCTTTTGCTAACAAATGACCCTCTTGATGGACATCCGCAGCCGAGTCTCTGTAATGCTGTACAATTCGATAAATGTTTCATTTATGCTACATTGACTGATGAAATTGTTTTTTCTCCCTCAATGTAGAGTTATAAATTGTACAAGGAAAACAAATGTGGAATTTAAATATAATCACATGTTTAGATGTTAACATCTTTATTGCTTGTTTATTTATTTATTTAGTCATTTGAATGAATTTTAGTTTTAGTTGCGGAATTTCTTGAAAAATGTACCGGTAATATGATGTTCTTATTTTTCAGTTCATGAAGAAAAATATGCAGAATCAGAGAGTGACCCAGAAGAAGAAGATCTGTCTGAGTTAAATGAGGTACAGATCACCTTATATTTAGCATAAATCCCTCCCATGCCCTGTATATTTTTAAAAAATCGAAAATTTTATTTTGTACAGTAACTGTTGTAGTTTAATTGTATGATTTTAAATAGTGGACGGTTACATGATTTTGCATTTTGAAAATATTAAATGTTTATTAGCAATCCAGATCTTATCATGATTTAATCCATTTCTGTTTGTTTATGTTCCTTAGAGGGAGCCAACTAAAAGTGGGAATTTAACCTAAAAAAATCTGTTTGATTTTAAATACACACTCTATCAAAAGATAGCATTATCTTTTGCAAAGCTATAACTACTCCAATAAAAAAACATACAAAAGTTAGGAAGCTTCAATGTTCAAATATTGGCTGTTGCAGCTGCAGTAAGGGTGCAGAATTATAAAAAAAAAAAAAAAAAAAAAAAAGAGAGAGAGAGAGAATAATGTACACAGGAGGGCTGCTTTTTAAAATCTTGACAAATTAAGCTTCTTTTATCAATATTTCCAAGTATTTGCATGCAGTGTGGATTAAAACTATTTAAACCATGGCTCCAGAAGTGTGCGAGGGGCCAAATCTAATTAAAATTTGACTTGCACGCTACAATGAATACATCATAGAGGAGCGGAATTACAAGTCTAATTTTAAATATATTGTGAAGGACAATGATATGAACTCATACTTTTGGGAGTTGAACTATGTTCAATCTCTCTTGGCTATCACACACAGAAAAAATCACTGGGCAAGCAATTTTTGTATAGGTTATTTAATACCCTTCTGTGTGAGCCAATTTACTCAGAAGTGCATGTACCATGACAAATAATAGGCATTTATATGCATCTACTGAAGAAATTAAACACAACACAATCATTAGTTTTCATTCTGTAATTTTTGGCAAATAAGTGAAAAAAGGATAATTAACATACATGAAATTTTTACTGAAAGCTATTTTGTTTCTTCAGTTTTCATGCTCACAAGCAATTTCTAGACCACCTAATTATGCCATGAAGGGCCCTGGGCAGACAGGGTCATAGCTGACTAGAGTCGTTGAAGGGTATTTCTGACTGCAAAATGTCACCGCGTCTCAAGAATTTAATTTTTGTTTGCAGGTTTATTCCGAAGTATTTTATGAATTAAAGTAATTTGTGCATAAAGTATTGTAGTTATATAAAGTATATCAATTCAGTGAATTTTGAGTTTCCATAAACTATATAATTGTTTTTTAAAGAAACAATGTAATTATTTAACGTTAACTTTAATGAAAAGTTTTTTCTCTATATGATTGAAAGTTCAGCTCCCAGGAGTACATTCTGTACTTTGATTACTCATGTACATATAAATATATATATTTTATACATTACAGTATACCAGTAATTGTAAGAATTTTCTGTGGAATTTTTGTAAAGAACAAACGAGCAAAAATTTCTCATATTTATTTGACAGCTTATTCACATGTGAGTTCAAGTAATGTCCTTCTCTTCCCCCCTTTTTTCCCCTTCATATCTCCCAAAAACCAGTAAGATTTGGAGCAGGGCCATGAAAAGAGTTAAAAGTTCAAGAACAAGGCAATAGTCTGTAAAATTAATTATGCAAGCATCAGCATAGTTACTGAAAAGAAAATCTTCTTAAATTTTTATAGTCGTAAACCACAAATACCTGATTTCATGCATAAAATGTAAACTAAAGCTAGTCTCAGGTGAACAGGGGGAACCATGGGTCTTGTAAAATATAAATTGAGGGTAAATCTGTGAATTTCAAATTATCCAATTACTTTCATTTCGCTAGTACTGTCATCCAAAATCATCCAGTTTTTATCATTAAAAATAATTAAAACAATTTTTTTCCAGCATTTCAATAAGTTCTCAAGGTCTCCATTGTTTCCAACTTTCAAAAAAGTTGGAATCTTACTTGTATCCCTTGTTAGTCTAATGAACATCAGAATTTTTTTTTTATACCCCCCGCAAACGAAGTTTAGGGGGGTATATTGGAATCAGCTTGTCCGTCTGTCTGTCTGTCTGTAAACGAGATTTTGTCCGGATCATTTCTTGGAAACTGTTGCAAGGATTTGTCTGAAAATTTGTACACTTATTCTTCGCCATATGAAGGTGTGCACCTGGTATTTTTATCATGATTGTATAATTTTTTTGCATTTTACGGGTGTTTTTTTCATTTTTATTATGTGGTTTTGTCCTGATCTGTTCCCAAAGACTATTGCATAGATTTGTATGAAAATTTGTACACTTATTATTTACCATATGAAGATGTGCACCTGGTATTTTCAACATTATGTGATAATTTTTCTGCATTTTACAGGTGGTTTTTTTTTCATTTTTATTGACTTAGTCATTTTGGGTTCATGTCTAAGGTTTGAGACATAGAATCTAGAACATCTGTACAAAAATGTGAACTACAGCTGAAAACTACTCATTAGAACTAAAAAAAAATCACAAAGTATTAAAAACAGTTTTTACATTACACAGCAGATAGTGTAAATCCATTTGTCCCTTGGGAGTAATGAGTGGACATGTATCCAGTTAAAGATTAATTAATGAGTTCAGTGTGGGAAGCTGTTAGGGCAATATTCTCTGATCAAGCAAATCTTATCTATATCTCCTGGGAATTAGGCAGAAAGAAATAAAGATCTCTGTTGTCTAAGTCTCTAAATTGTAATTTATGTCTGTCAAAATACTTAGTTACTGGAACCAGCCTTTTATTTTTAAAATGAGTTTGATATAAAGGTATTAAGATCAATTTGATTTTGCATAATTAATTATGATATTTTTTTTTTTCAACAATCAATTTGCAGAGTGTCATGTCTCACAAAGATGACAGATAGTTGCGAACTAGTTTTTCAATGTAATTAAAAACACTGTAATTACTAGCACTGATGTTTTATTAGGCTGCACCTTAGTTTCATTCATTAAAAAAAATATAATGAGTAATTAAATTTTCACTCTAAATGTTTAAGTACATTGTGAACACCTCTCACATCTAGAAAACATTAGTGATTTGGTACTTTCTCTGAAAAACCCAGCGGGGGGTATTTGTCCCTTTAGGACAGTTCTAGTTTTTTTTTTTGAATCTGGGATATTTTTTAAAATACTGTAAGCATATTTTTACCACGGGGTTATAATTCCATAGTATCACAATCTCTGTTCAATTCACGAGTAAAAGATTACATGGATTTCTTGGACTGCCTTTGTATGTCCTCAGTGTGTGGTATGACAAATTTCCACGGAAAATTTTTGACCATGTACATTATCATAAATTAATCCCACGTGGAAAAAAGTACATCTACAGTATTTTAAATACTTTGAATATTCTTGTGTGACAAAAGAACAAAATGAATTTAATCTACTTTTATTTTACATAGATGTTAGAAAGGAGAAAGAAATCCAATGAATCTAGACAAGAAAGCGCCTCTCAAGCACCTTTAAATCAGCCGAAATCTTCTTCCAAAACCCAGGCACATGAAAATGAGCAAGGAAATTCCACAAACTTAAAATTTAATTTGAATTCCCTTGAGGCACAGGATAGAGACCATGGATTTTCCCACCCACAACCTGATCCAAGTATTCTCCAGGAACAGGAGAATGAGCATGGACATTCCCAAGATGCACAACAGAATGCAGGTACCACCCAGCAACAGGCCAATGACCATGGGTATTCTGTTCAACAAGTAGATATCCCCCCAGTTTTATGTAGCATGTGTTCATTCAAGGCTTCTTATTGGAAATCAATGGCTGACCATATGAGACATCATGGGTCTAAGAGATACTGCATCAAGTGCAACAATTTCATGAACAGTTCCAAGTTTAATGTCCATAATTGCACCAGACGAGGCACCAATAAAAATAGGAAGCAGATTTGTCTGATCTGTTCTCGATTGGCTAGTAATGCCTTTGAATTGATCAAACATTACAGAGTCAGTCATAGAACTGATATTGAGAAACGCTGTCACAGCAATTCACTATACAGAAGTGTGAGATCTCAGAAAATTTTTGTGTGTAAAGGTTGTGGGACATTGGAATACACAGAGCAATACATGTTGAGTCATGTAAAGAAGTTTCATGTCTGTGAACGTAATGAGTACAAAGAACAACAGAGCCCCCAGTTTCAGAAAAGGGAACCAGTGTGTGTGTGTCCAGTGTGCTTTTTTCATTTTCCAGAGAAGAAACATTTGAATTTCCACATAAATCTCTTTCACAGTGGCAAACGCGGTGATACTATCGAGTGCAGTTTGTGTGACAGCAACTTTTCTTGTAATGATGAGTTGTTTGATCACTATACAACTCATAAACCAAATATCAAATACAAATGTGCAATCTGTGCACAACACAAAGAACCTATGAATTCTTTGGAGGAGGTGCAACATCACAGAGATATTATCCATCCCTCAAACAAACTGTGTGCCTTACTCTTGTGTCCAGAACCACAATGTCAGGAGACCTTTCAAGAAGACATAGACTTTGTGCTTCACATTATCCAACATGAAATAGGAACAAAATACAGCCATACATGTGCCAAATGTGATTTTTCTACCTCCTCTGAGAGCATGCTGTCGAAGCATGAATCAAAATTTCACTATGAATCTGAAAAAAGGTGTCATGTATGCACAAAGCGCTTCAAACTGCCGGAAAACCTAACAAAACATATGGAAATACATAAGACAATGTTAAAAAGTACCAATGACACTTTTATTTGTGATCGCTGTGGGCAAATACATACTAACATTTCAAAGCACAGACGACACATGAGCAAACACAGGGAAAAGGACCGTAAGGAGGAACAACCATGTAAAGTGTGCGGCGAAGTTTTTGTTTCAGCCCAGAATGTAGCGAAACATATGTTCAAGTGTCATCCAGAAGTGGAACATGATATTCAGGCACCAAAATACCCATGTGCTTATTGTGACTATGTCAGTTTGAATCGTGGCGATTTTCGCCGTCACATGTCAACTCACAAGAGAACCAATCATTTTGTTTGTAAAATATGCGAGAGGGGCTTCAAGGATAAACCAGGTCTCAGGATACACATAAGACTTCACAAGCAAGGACGAAATAACAAGAAATTCAGGTAAGAATTTTTTTATTCATTTGGTTCATAATTTAAACATTTCTCTGTATTACTTTAGCATCCAAAAAATACTCAAAGAGAAAAAAAATGACGCCAAATCATTTCATGATTTCCAATTGCAAGGCATATGAATATTAAGCATCAGAATTAAAATGAACATTGTCAACTTACAATTTCTCAACTGAAAAAAGGTTATTTCATATCCTGCATAATATGCATACATGATCACAGTTCATCATTTTACATTACATGCTTTAGTAGTAAAATTTTTAAGATTCAGATTTCTTTCCATATTTTCGGGGTATTAATAAAGTCTTAAGTTTCATTCTATTTTCCTCAAAATTCTTTAATGAGGTATTCCCAATTTTTTTTAATTTAAAAATGATGTGTAATCATTTAATTGAAAACAAAATTTTAATTAACTTTTTTCTACAAATTGAATGACTCTTAAGAGTCTTTTTCTCAAGATTCAGATTGCAAACTGCCTTTGATATAAGGTGGCATATTAATTTGCACCTGTCAGTTTGTAGAAAAGTGTTGTCAAGCAGAAACTTGGTACACTGGTACCCCTAAAGAACAGATGATTCCTATTGATTCTGATGTCACAAGGTCAAGGGTCAAAACTATCCAGACCACGTACTTCATATAATTTTGAGAACCCTTTGCATGACAGAGATCAAAATTGTTACACTGCTAAGGCCAGAGATCAAGTGTTGAATTTTTCTGGGGCATAGGAGGATTTTGTTTGCTCAATATCTTGCGACTCCTTTGCATCACAGACATACCCTTCATCCCCCCCTCCCCCCCCCAAGACGTACTATTTGGTTTTCTAGTCACATTACAGACATTTTAAAGTTAAAGTCGATCCTCTTCAATAAGGGATGGGGTCACTTACCGTAGATCACTAAATTTCCATGACACCTTATTTTCGCGAGATTGTTGTTTGGTATTTTTAAAAGCAAAACAAAATTTCCACAAATTTGGTAATTGCTCTGTATAATCTTTAATAACAGAATTATACACAAGAATGAAATTTTCACTTAATTGCTTAATTATGCGAAAGTAAAGTTCTCGCAAATTAAGTGATTTACAGGGATACTTTCAAAAGTAATCGATTAAATTACAATTACTGGTGCTTTGGATTTTAAACATAATGGATTACAAGCTGACCAGCCATTCTTTAAAGTATTCCATTACTTTAGATAACTTGTGCATCATGTACTATATGGAGTCATCATTGCTCGTGGGAGACCAATGTTTGTAGAATTCATGGGTCACCCTTACCCAATACCCACAAACATTAATTTTGGAAACATATTGATTCATTGAATATACTGTATACTGTAGATTCCTAAATATATGCGAGGAATTAATTATCGCGTAATTACGCGAGAAGCACTACTCGCGAAATAAAATTACTCGCTTTTATTTTTATGGTGCTTTAATGTATGTAAAATCTGTAAATAAATCACCCATTCACGAATTATTGTTCTCGCGATTTGACACCCTTGGGCCATTTCACGATATTAAGTACTCGCGTAAAATAAAGAATCTACAGTAAACAAATAACCCAGGAAAATATGTCCCCAGGAACAAGTAAAATTTTGCTTACACGTGAACATTGACCCCAACAAATTCAAATGATTCCATAGTAATTGTGATTACTTTTGATTACTCTAGAATCTAGATAATATTGTTTGTTTGTTTGTATGTTGTTTAACATCCCTCTCGAGAATTTTTCACTCGTATGGAGACGCCACCACTTGCCGGTGGAGAGCTGCAAATTTTGTCCTATACTCGGCACTTACAGCCATTGAGTAGTGAGGGATCTTTTTCGTGCCAGCACCTACTGCGACACGGGACCTCGGTTTATACGGTCTCATCTGAAGGACCGGTCTCCACGTCCCACAGTGGGATTCGAACCCGCGACGTAAGGATCAACTCCTCACACCGCAACTCTAGAGCAGATCTAGATAATATTAATTTAAAAAGAAGTAAATAATTTTGTTCAGGAGAGAAACAGTTTTTTTACAGGACATTTTATCCTAAATTTACACACTTTTTCATTGCATTTAATTACCATTTACATTTTAAAGATAAGATCACTGTGATTTTTTTTTTTAATTAATTCTTAAAATTAAGAATGAACCTTAAATTGTTCATAGGAATTTAATTCTTTAAAATTAAAAATGAACCTTGTTGATTAAAATCGAAAAAAATGAAATAAAACCGTGTCATTTTATTTTCACACTTTTAAGGTGGCTAGTAAAGTGATTCTGGCTATTAAAATTTCGTTATTACTAGCCCGACTAGGCTAGTGCTGTTTGTAAATTGAACAAAGTTCTTATTAGAAATATCCATCACTTGGTCAATGGATCAGTGAACTCAAACCTGAAGGCAATGTGGAAAATATAATATAGCAGTAACCAAATTTGCACACTGAAAAATGTTAAATCAGAATATCACCAAGAATATCACCAATGACCATGATTTTATGCATCTTTTTCCACCATTGTAATTATTGTAAAGTAATCCAAAAGTAATCATGAATACAGAACTTTCTTCAGAATAACTGATTAAATTACAATTACTTGTACAATGTAATGAGAAAAATGGATGGTTACTGATTACTCATGATTATATAGCAAACTGTAATTGATTACAGTTGATAATGAATTATTTACTGATAACAGGATTACCCCATCCCTGCTTCAATGTTGCATTGATGTATATGTCTCAAAAATATTTCTTGTTTATAATGTAAATTTTATCTTTTCAAACAGGTGTTTTGCCTGCCATATTGACAGGGATGGAAGTAGAATGAAGGTTCACCTGCAAACTGAAAATCACAAAATGAATTGTAAATTGGCTGGCATAAATTTGGATGATTACAATGAAGACCTGCTGAATTTGTTTCCATCAAAAGTAGAGGCTCTGAAACTCCCAAGGAAACATGTAACCCCTATATCCTATATTGATCAATGCCAAAAGATTCACAAAAAGCACTGTAAAAGAGCATCTCTTCTAATGGTTGAAGAAAAGTCCTACACAGTTTTAACTCCAGATGGGGATGAAATTCAGCTGGATATGCCCTCCAGAAATCCAAAATGTGAGGAGTGTGGATTGTTGTTCAAGTCATTTGAAGATTTAGAGGAACATCGAGAACATGTTAGATTGTTAGAGCTTTCATCCAATAGAAACAACTTTGTCTGCGAGGTTTGTGACATCCATCTCTTTGAGAGGATAGGTGTGGCCAAGCATGCTACCTCAAAAGACCATATTGAAAAGTGTCGCATTAAGGGGGTGGATCCTGAAGAGATTTTGAAAAAGAGTAACATTTCTAAAGATGTATCCTCCAAAAAGAGAAAAGAATTGCCAACACATGGATATAGATGTAAGGTCTGCGATGCATATTTTGCTTCACGAACCAAGAAAGCTGTTCATATTGGCAAGGACATTCATGTCAAAAAGTGCCAAGAGTTAGGGTTGGATCCCGCTGGTGATCATTTTGAAGATTTAACAGACCAAAATAGTGAAGAGAAATTGCCAAGTAAAGAAAGAAAGAAAACAAGCAGAATTGAAAAAGCAATCAACAGGCGAAAAATGAAACTGGACAGCATAGAACTCATGGGTGTAAAGGTACCAAGGCTGATTTCATTTGAATGTTTAGTGTGCCATGTATTGTTGGCCAGCAGGATCCAGGGCATTGATCATTTGAACACAACAATGCATAGAGAAAAATGTTCAGATTTAGGCATTCAGTCTACTCCTGGTAATCTTACAGTAAAGGCATCCGATATCCAGTCCGTGGTGGGGAAATCTATACCACAACTCCTAGGAGTAGCAACAGACACAGTTTTCCCCATTTCTGAAAGAGAAAGAGAAGTTTATGTGCGCCAGATTGCTGAGGCAGAAATGATATCAAAAAAATTTTCAAACATTAAATACCGCATTGTGAAAATTCGACCCAATTCGGATGATGCTCAAGTTGTAGTGGCAGAATTGCAAGATGAGGATTTGGAAACATCACAACAGTCCATAGAAGTGCCACAAGAGACCACAACAGCTGTGGTTAACTGTGATGCTCCACAAACATTCAGAGCTGAAGAAGAGTCTTCTTTGGATACAGCACAGGAATTTTCTTTCATCAGTGAATCTATGTGTAACTCTGTAATGTCTGGTACCCAAGTATCAGTGCACCAAGGTCATGTAGTTCCAACATCAGTTCTATCACCTAAACAAAGCATTCTTAAGACACCAAAGGCCACAGTAAAAAGCACTTCAAGTCGCAAAGCGATTTCCCAGAAAGGTGATGTTTTACAGCCTTCCAGCAATCAACAAACAAAGTATGAATCTTTCCAAGAAGTGGAGGTGGAATCAGCAATGGTAGTGGACCAGATTTTCTATGAAGATGTAAGTGAAATTGAAATATCTGAGAACATTGATTTTGAGACTGTCAGTGCTAATGAGCTGAATCATTATGATTCGTTTTAAGAAGATTGAACATTGATTTTTTTTTTTTAACTGTTAGTGACGAGTTGAATCTTTTAGATTCATTTTAAGTAGTTACTCCATTAGTGTTACTGTTTTTGAGTGTGTGGTTTTGACACATGAAAACTGCTTTTAGAATATGGATTATTAAATTTATTCAAATTAATTCTTTTTCTTAATGTTATGACATAGAGTTATACCCAAAACATTTATTGCAATAGAATGTTTTTTGGAATTATTAACTTTCATTTACACAAAAATATGGTGATATAAAAGATGGTTATGAACTTGATGGGGGATGAACAGATATTGATTATTTTGAAAATTTAAATTTACCCTCTCGATTATAAGGAGAGATACTGTTAAGCTCACTTTAATGAAGACAAGTTTTTTCTATGGTGTTGATGTACTGATTAAATAAGAGCAGGTATCGGTAAACCCTACTTTTCATAGTTGTGGATCTATGGATGGACACTTCCACTAATGCTTTTGATGCTGCAATTGACGTACAGTTTGGATAAATGTGCAGATTAGTGTTTATGGAGCAGGTCCATTCTCAAGAAACTATAAGCCATCCCTACTATACTTGCTTCAGATGCAGCATTTGACCTACATTTTCTATAGATTGAACAAGCTTAATGTTTTGGATCAACTATAGCTTTATATAAGCCTTATCTAATCAAACTATTACTTGCATAGATGATGTACATGTATCTAGGTTGCACTATCAGGCATGCTTTGGATGCTGCATGTCGCCAATATTTTTTGGATGGGCATTGGTCTATTACAAAGGAACTACTAGTCCTAGTTTGTTGCATCTGGGAATGCCCACCGAGAGAATACTCATGATCATTTGATGTGAGACTTTGCCTTACAGATTTGTCAAGATGAGCAGACAGAGTTTTGTAATTTTTGATAACCTGATGACTAGAAAAATGCATCTAGAGACCCTGAATCACAAACATTTTCTACTGAAATTATGTGAATGCTCATTGTTTCTTTTTTATTTAAGACTAAGGAAAGAGGGAGTCATACTGGAGACTCCGATTTTTAAGTCACCTAGGTCACTCAGGTGAGGTAGTGCTACATGTATCTGTCTTTGTTTATATTGTGTACAACCTTCTCATCCTTTGATGCTTTCTTTAAAATTGCTTTCCCATTTCAACTTGATGGGGATTCAATTTCCTTTCTAAAGGGAGAAGAAAAGTTTTGTCAGTTGAATGTTTTCTCAAGAAATGCTGATCTAAAAAAATGACAAAACTTAATGTGTGGAAGCTGCCCTATAAAAAAATTCATCTCTTGCTCAAATCATAGCCCAACACGCATTAATGCTGAAGTTTTATATTGAATTTTTTGTCAAGAATTGCTAGGCAGCATATTGGCAAACTTTATACATATACAAGAATCCTCATGGAGACTCAAGTGTGTTCAAGTCATAACCCCTGGGGCAGGTATGGGCCACTAAGTCCAAAGTTTTACAAACAAACAAAAGAAGAATTTGTTCATTGTCGTTGTCATTGTAAATTTTTAACAATATCATCCTCTTCTCCAAATCAATGGGCCAATTTAAAACAAATTTGAAACAAAGCATCCTGGCAAAGGGGATTAAAAACTTGTTGAAATGAAGGGCCACACTCACCTGAGTCACTATGACCCTGCTGTTCATCATTAGATTTTTTTCTATATATTCCTATGTAAAACTTTGATTGCCAATTGTGGCCCCACCTTACCCCTAGGGATTATGATATGAATAAACTTGAATCTACCCTACCCGGTGATGCTTCCTTAAAAATATGACTAGACATGGCTTTGCTGTTCATGAGAAGAAGATTTTAAGATTTTTCTTATATATGTTCCTTGATTGCCCATTGTGACCACACCCTACAACCTGGGGCGGGGGGGGGGGGGGGTTGTGTCGTGATTTGAACGAGCTTGATTCTACACTATTTTCTATGTCTATATTTCTATTAGCCCCAGGGTTCATGATTTAGACAAACTTGAATCTACATTATCTAGCAGCTAGGTAAGGTTGGGTCACAATAGACCAAAATAGATTATCAAAGTTTTACATAGGGATATATAGGGAAAAAACTTAAAAGACCTTAAAAACGGATATCCCATGTCACGGCGGGCTTTAGCACGATAAAGAATCCTCAATAATCAATGGCCCTGAGTGACGAGTAAAGGTCTAAATTTGAAGCCCTTCACCGGTATATGGTGACGTCTCTCTCTCTCTCTATATATATATGAGTGAAAAAATTTTTGACGTAAAACAACATTCAATCAATCAATCTCAAGAACTACCGGGCCAAAATTGGTACAAAGCATCCCTGAGTGAAGGGGATGTTAAATTAATAAAATGAAGGTCCAAGGCCCATTCTAAGGGGAGATAATGAAGATAAGACAAAAATAGGATGGGATCATTTTAAAATCTTCTCAAGAACCATTTGGCCAGAAAACCTGAATGTTATGTGGAAGCTTCCTGAGGTAGTGTACATTCTAATTATAAATTGTTCAAATCATGGCCCCCGAGTGTAGAGTGGGGCCATAATAAGGAAACAAGTTTGAAAACAAATCTCGACAGTCAGATCGTGAAAAAGCCTGGAGAACGTCAGATATTTCGGACTAAGCCCCTGGAGGTAGGGAATCATTTTACATTGAAAATAAAATATATAGGAGAAATTTTCTTCCCAATAACCATTGGGCCAGAAAAGCTGAAATTTATATGGAAGCTCCCTGAGGTAAGTACATGTAGATTCTAAATTGTTCCAATTATAACAATAATTTATAGGGGGTAGGGTGGGGCCACAATTAGTATTATATAAGGGGGAAAATCTAGTGAAGAACAGCAGGGCCAAAGTTACTCAGGTGAGCGATGTGGCCCATGGACCTCTTGTTTTTAATTTATATGTATTGTATCTTCAATATTTGTTCAGAAACACTTTCTATGCTCTTCAACTCGACATTAAGATATCGACGACGATTTATCAATTAACAATAGTTACTTCCATTCGTATGTCGACTTGATACATATATCTCAGTGAGCTTGAAATAATATACAACAGAGTCTGAAAACAACAGAGTCTGAAACAAGGATATCAACAGTCTCGATAGCTTATGGTCGATACAATGACCTTGTCAGCAAATACAACCTATCATTAAGTCAAATGCTGACTGACGTTTTTCATACTACAAGTATTGTTAGGCCATTATTTACCCACTGAATTGTCTACGGATTTTTCCATTTTTCACGATGATGACAAGGAGCACACGGCGGGTGTGACCGGTCGGCAGGGAATGATCACTCCTCCATGGCACCTGATCCCACCTCTGATGTTTTTGGAGGTCAATACGCATGCTTGAATAAATCCTATGATATCAAGAAAAAAACTGCGAACAATAGTATTTTTCTGCCGCCTACCTCTAAGTCAATTTCTCAAAAGTTAACATATTTGAGTGATTTTTCATATTTATAGAAATATTTATGTGAATTTTCATAAAAATAACTTATTTGGGAAAACAAAGAGAGATAAGTCTATAATTTTGGTAAAACTTGTGTTTTTCATTATAGAAATCAACGGAAAAGGAAAATATTTTAAACCCCCCCCCCACTCCCACTCCACCGTGAAACAATGGCTTTTTACGGGTATTATGAATTGTTATTTCATCAATTCATACCAAAGGTTTTGTTGTTTTACGGAGGGGGGATGTTTACAGACTAAAAACAGCAAATAAAAGAAGATATATATATTACTAATTTCAAATGAGATTATAAATGTAAAATTGTACTTTATCAATCTGATATGTTAAATTTTACATAAGTTAAACATAAGGAAAGAATAAAGGGCCATTTATCCATTTCCTTGTGTATTTGAAAATCTGGTGGTGTTTTATAGCCTGATTTCAATTGATAAAATTTATCTACCCCCCTCCCCCCCTTTATGAAAAGAGTTGTAAGTGAGTAATTAACTTTTTGATACTGATTTTAAATTTATCAATCCTTTACTAATTTTTTTTGCACTCGAACAAGTTTTAATGGCCAAATTGCCATTAAAATTGAATTAAAATGATGTAATTATAAACTGTGCGCGGGAATCGAGAGTTAGCGTGCGTAGTTCTTAAAATAATAACAAAAACCGGCAGATTCAGGCATTTTTTAATCTGTGGAAGTGACGATGGAGTAAAACGGAAGGAGTGTATTTCCTCATAAAAACGAAACAACTAATTTCCACATTTCCTTGCAGGCAAATAATTCAATAGCTTTTTGAGGGAAGGGGGTCTTAAGTGTGTGTGGGGTCACATACGACAAAAGACAGACTATTAATAGGGTCTAGGGTAACATTTGTCGGCATATGTATTTATACTAGAAATATTACTGAAAATTATAACAAAATAAATTTTTGCCTACTGTAAAATATCTAGTACATGTAATAAACTTTAGTGTTTCTTTTTACCTTATGAAAAAAGTACTTATATTTGTGAATTTTCATATGTGCCCTATTTAAATCGATTTAATGGCTAATGTCAGGTCTGTAGAAACATGGTGGTGGTGGTTAGGGGGAAGGAGGGGAGGGGGTGGAGTTCAAATTGCCAACATATACTACTTTTGCTTCCTCAATAATGACACATGTAACCTTTCTTTATTATTATTCAAGGGATTTCTGTTGGGTTGTGCCCCCCCCCCCCCTCCGGCACTGAAATTGCTTCCTTGTCTAGGATCAATTATTTTTACATACAGTAATATGTCTTGTTTTATGATATTTCAGTAGTATTTCTAGTAAAAAATACATATACATGTATCAACAAATGTTACCCCAAGATGCTACTAAAGCCCCCCTCCCCTTTTTTTTGGACGTTATATACGCCTTTAATCTGTCCCCGTCAAAAAAGCTATTGAATTATTTGCCTGCAAAGGAAATGTGGGAATATTAGATGTTTTTTTTTAAGAAGAAATAACTCTTTCGCCTATTTATTCCTTCCTCGCCTTCACAGTTTAAAAATTCCTGAATCTGCCAATTTAAATTTTTTGTTATTATTGTATAATTCTTGCTATCATAGGGTTTATTCAAGCATGCGTATTTTAAAAAGATAAGCAATATCATCTATGAACAGTTGCGGTTGGCATTGAGTAGTTGGCAGTAAGAAGCAGCCAGTATTTGGGTGATA